TATCTCTATCTCTATCTCTATCTCTATCTCTATCTCTATCTCTATCTATCTCTCTCTCTCTCTCTCAGCGCCTGCAAGCTGGAGTGAACCATGAGAGTAATTCTGCGGAAAGGACCTGCACTCCAAACCCAGCATTAAAATTAAGAACCTTACAAAGCCGCCTGTGTCAAAGGCACAATTTAGGCTACAATCATATGTGGAAATGCCTTCGTGGACTAGGTCGTGCTGATTCGCCAGTTCCTGCAAAGACAAACGTCTACTACAGTGCAAGCAACATTGGATTGGTTCGAAAATTGATTCTCTACCCAAACAACTAATGACCAAGTTTGTTGCGTTATAGGGAAAGTAGTAAATAATCCTTTCAGACTGCTGTCATCAGGTGAGTGCAGCTTCGAAGCTCAATGCGTGCATGTCATGTTCACCTGAAATGGCTCGCACACCATTCTCAAGCGGTTGTTATGGGCGATGAATATGTGCCACGAGAAACTTGCAAAATGCGACACGTGAGTGGGTTGTTTTTCTCATACTGTCATACAGCTGGGGTTGAACATGTTTGAACGGTTGAACTGTATTGAACAAATCGAAGGTGTGGCTCGCAGTATCGCCTTTGACAGAATCAGCGTCACACCTGCCCAGTTTCGTTCAAGGGCACTCGAGTGGTGGAAGAAACATCAAAACGTTGGCTTGGCAGTGTCAGATTATGTCATTTTGTTTCAATGATTCAACTTCTTTCCTCGTCTTCATCTCTACAAACACTCATGTATTTGTATAACTCTGTAACTTAACCTCAACTCATGGGCCGAACTGGTGGAACCGAACCAAACCTTCTTGTTCTTGGAACAGCATCCAGGGATCCAGCTCGGCAGCTTGCCTATCCATGTGTGCGAGGGATTTCCGATCATCAAGTTGACGAAAAAGAGAAAGTTACAGAGACGAAAAGAAAATCGCTAGCTGTTAGCTTTGCTACAGTCAGGACCTACTAGTAGCATCCTGGTTTCTAGTAGCGATGCCCTTCGTTCCTAAAAAAGCTTCTTGCTACTAGTAGTAATGCCAGGAGCTACTAGTGGCATAGGTATCAAACAAAAATATTTATCGAATCAATAAAAAATATTCACCGAATTAAAAAATACTTATTCACCGAATCAATAAAAAAATATTCATTGTGCGATGAAATAAATCCCTTGGAATTCCCAGTCGTGTAGGTGGCCGGTCCTCTGGTCCGCTGGTCCCCTGGTCCTCTGGTCCGCTGGTCCTCTGGTCCGCTGGTCCTGGTCCGCTGGTTCCCTGCAGTCCGCTGGTCCACTGGTCCGCTGGTCCCTTGGTCCTCTGGTCCTTCGTCTTTCTTTCTTTCTTTCTTTCTTTCTTTCTTTCTTTCTTTTTCGCTGCTGTTCTCCTTTCTCTTTTTTGCTTTTGCTTTTCCTTTTGTTCGCTTTGCAGAGACGAAACCAAACAAGCAAGCAAGCAAGCAAGCAAGCAAGCAAGCAAGCAAGCAAGCACGAGCTGCTCACCTTTGGATCTGTTGTGCTGCTGGGGGGGGGCGCTGCGCCCCCCCCCCAACCCCCCCGCGCCACGAAATCTGCACTTCATCCCCGACACCCGCGCCTGCCACGAAATCCATATTTTGAGGTGAACTCCCCGGTGCAAAATTTTCGAACCAAGCAAATATGTCTCCCCTATCTATCTATCTATCTATCGATCCATTTATCTTTCTATCTTTGTATCTGTCTATCTGCAGTTCAACATCCACAAAGTACTACACCTGCCACGATATCTGCACTTCAAGGTCCACAAAGTCTTGCGCCTGCCACCAAATCTGCACTCCAAGGCCCACAAAGTCCTGCGCCTGCCACACTTCCACATCAAAAAGTCCTGCGCCTGCCACGGAATCTGCACTCCAAGGCCCACAAAGTCCTGCGCCGGCCACCAACTCTGCACACAAAGTCCTGCGCCTGCCACGAAATCTGCACTTAGGCCCCAAAAAGTCCTGCGCCTGCCACTGGCCACCAACTCTGCACTTCAACATCCACAAAGTCCTGCACCTGCCACGAAATGTGCATTGCAAGGTCCACAAAGTACTGCGCCTGCCACGAAACACTACGACTACCACTACGATACTGCTGCTATTATAGTACTGTTGCTACTCTTACTGCTACTGCTATTTGGAATATTTTTTGAGTCAGTATCTATTTTTTATTCATGCGTGTAGAATATATTTTTTTGATGCGTTAAGTATTTTTTTGATCTCTCACCCGCTACTAGTAGCGTCCTTGTTACTGGTAGCGAGGAAAATCGTCCGGCATGTCCATTTTAGGATTGGAGGATCTCCACAATTTCATCGTGCTTCTCTATTGGGGTTCAAAGCGAAAGGACTTGCTTCTGCTGTGCCTCATTGACATGCTGGTAGACATGGCAAATACCACCTCAAGCTCTGCTTTCATGAACTAGAGTTCAAAAAAATTCTAGCAACGCAAAATTCAGACAAGATGATGTGTAAAGTTACACTTCCGCAACTCCCCATCGTCTCATCAAGCCTAGTCTTCAAAACTCAAGTCATCGCATCTTTCTGAGCGGAAATCCCGCACCGTCTCGTGGTCTTTGAAAAGTCCTTTCGCCTAAGGGGCGTGTGGTCTTTGAACCGTCGGTGGCCCGAAGTCTCGGTGCCTTTGGACCACTGAAACGCCTGAAACGCCCGAGGTCTCGCTCACTGTGTCTTCCGCCGACAGCATCGGCGCAAGGTGAACTTCAGCCGGGCGGATGCAACAGCAGGCTCAGTCCAGGAGCCCTGCACAGGCACAGCGGCGCATGGAACTCACTCACTGTCTCCCTTTGAAGAATGTCAAGCAAACGATGCCGTTCTCTGAATTTCCTAGCGTCCTTGTGCAGCGTGCATATATATATATATATGTCACTGCACTCACGTGAGGTTCTTTTCCGAGGTTGCGCAAGAAGTC